AAAGACTCTTGAAAAGACTATTAAAACATAACAACACCTATATAAACTTATGTCAAGTCAGGGAGAGCTTTTAGAATTAGGTGGAATAAAACCATGATGTATAAAGGCTTTTTCTACTTTCTTAAGATCTTTTAATTGGCTCCATGTACCCAGGAAAGACAGTGTATTACTTTTTCCTTTTCCAATGGTGTCAGTGAACCATCAGCCAGAGAAGCAAGGTGTCTGAAAAAGCTCCAGAGAGCACTCCATGTAGAAGCACCCAGCAGTAGGGAATTGCCTGGGTGACCAAGGCTGTGTTCAGACTATCCAGCTTTATTAATATCCTGACAGCCTGCCGCTTCTCACGGGCATCAGTGAGCAAGCGAGGTACGCTGCAGCTAATTAATGCCTAGGCTAGATGCTTTTATCAAAGATTGTTTGAGACAGATGCTGGTCTTGCTCAACTGAAGCACCAACCCACTTTGAGTGTCCCTGTAAACCCCATGGTCAGGCAATTTATACAAATGCGGTGTGTTGGAATGCATTATGCAGAGGGATGTTCAGGCATCCTAAACACAAGCTGTGTCCAACATGTGTGTGCTTGTGGGTCGGATACCTGCCAAAAGTCGAAGCCTTTAGCAGGATGGGAAACTATTCCTCTCCATCACTGATTTGAAATAGTTTCAGCTTTTATGAAACACAGACTCATAGGACTGGAAAATATCTCCGGCCTTAGGCTGTATCAAAACATTTGTGACAGAGATTTGAATGGACTTAGGTGCAAGTCATGTAAGGTCAAGTTTCCATTTGAGAACTGTTTGCATTAGCAGTCCTACCACCCCGGTAACACGGAGGAAGAGACACTAATGATATTTAGCACATGAACATGGACAACAGCTATTTGCTACATCCTCAGGAACAAATGTAGATGAACCCATAACGAAGCTATGCTTCCAATCCCTCCTCGTTGTGCAGGGTTTTTACACAACATGCATCACAAGGGAGTGAGATGATTTGAGACCTATGGGACATAGTCAATGTGGCAAAGAGCACACGATCTGCGCTACTCAAGCTCACCTGACACAGATAAAATTGCAACTTCTGGCGCATTTTGGTGAATGAGCAGTGCACACCTGTCTGAAAGCCGTGTGTGCCTGCACAGACAGGCACAGGATCCTCACTGGAAAATGGTCTCAGCAGAAAATATTCAGCCCTTACATCCATGTGTGGGTAACCTGAGCTTCCTTGACAGAAGCAGATGGGAGGTCCATGTGCTGCTATGTTAGAAATGTCTGTCATTCTCCCGTTTATTCTGTGTCCTGTATCTTAGGTTATCAGGCGTGCTCTTCTCAATGCCAGTTAAAACGTAGGTGTAAAACACAGAAGGCACGTTCATTTATAACTACACAGACTATAATTATATGTAGTCTAGGGCTTATTTCCTGAACTAGGAAGGAGGAAAAATGGGTTAGGTGGGTGTGAGTAAAGTAACAAGCAGAAACATGTCTTTTAGAGGTTATGAAACCACCTTGATCTTCCAGTATCAGAAATGCTGGCTAAGAACAAACAAATCAGAAAACCACTTGCAGGCTGAGAGTTGGGACAAATACAAGAGAATTGGGAACTGACAAGGGAATAGTAGCAAGTTTCTGATCCAGCCTGGGAACTTAGAATTGCAAGCAAAAATGGAGGAGAAATATGAGGTCACCACTACAGTTTAGCTGCAGAAAGATAAATGCAATCTTGGGATTACTAGGTGGGATATTTCAGTGAGAAACGAGGACTTTAATGTCATTGTATGAAGTATCAGTGACACCTCCTCCCATTTAATACTATAACTACTTTTGGGCATCCATTTGCACTTTAAGATTAATTGAAACCGGAGCAGCTGGAGGGAAGAGGTCTGAGGTGAATTGAGTCATTTAGGAAAGAAGATTGAAAAGCCAGTCCTGTGCAGCTCAGGGGGGAAAGGAGACAAGAACCATCTCCACAGAAATACCTGAGGAAGGAGTGGTGAGCAAAACGGCAACCGAAATGAGAGCAGATGCTGGTGCCAGAACATGTGGGAATAAACTGGTGGTGGTAATCACACCAAGGACATAGACCATCAGGGAGAATCTCCCAGAAGGAGTAACAGGCAGAAAACACAAAGTTGTTTTAAGTTAGAGCGTAGTCCTTTCACGAAAAGGACTGTAAAGAACATTGTGCCTGATGTGGCAGAGAACTGGGCTGTATGATCCAGGCTCCTCCTGTGCTTCTAGCTCTAAATTGCCTAACAGGAACAGAACAGCAGCAAACCAAGGCCTTTGGCCACTTGTTACTGGAGATCTGTGGAATATTTTCGCAGCAGTCGCAATGCCAGCAGCTCCAGTGTCCTGGCTAAACACCAACACATTCCTCTGCTATTTAAGTCCCCCCCGTGGTTTCACTTAGTAATGCTACTCTTTGCTCCCTGCCCAAAAATTGTGGCACAATGCTGCTTTTTTGTGCTTAAAAAATGTTTTCTATTTACTGAATTGCTCTTCAAACTGTAGTATAATTCACTCTAGGGTGTAACTGTGTTGCATTTTAACCTGCACAGAAATAGCGTGTGCAAGTGTGGAGAGAGGATGGGAGAAAAAATAGCAATACAAAAATAATCCTTATGACAGCACTGAGCCCAAGTGAGCAATATTACCCTTATTTTACAGTAGGGAATTGCTGATTCTTTTACTTTGTAAGCAAAAGGAGTTTGAAACCTTTCCCATGAAAACACAATAAGCAGGTGTTGTTTGGGGCTTTGCTATCAGCTGTAGCATCAAAACAATCTCTGGAAACTTAGCCTTGAACCTTAATTCATGAGCCTTTCAATGAGGTCTAAAGTTGAATTCTGGCTTTCTGACAAAATCAGAGAAAATTAATGACATTGGCCTAAAGACCCTAATTTGCACTGGCAGGCTAAGATTTTGGAATGGTACAAATTTCCCAGGGTGCATGTGTCACTGACTGCTAACCTGCATGACCAGTATTGCGACAGTGCTTGGATCCTCCCTAACACAAATGGCGCCATGTCCTATCCCAGATCTGTATCTACAGATGACTGATATTACGTAGAACAAGGTATCATTGTTATTATTATTTAATTCTTGTAACAATCGCCAGAGCAGCTGAGCTACTCCCACAGCTGCATTAAATATCAGGATTAAAATATGCAATCCTTTTGTTATTTCATCTTCTATGAGAAAAGTGGACTGTCGTGTTTCAACAGCAAATTTTAAGCACGTATTTCGGAAAATACAGCTCACGAAATGTGCCTTGCTATTCCAGTTTTTCCTATATTCAGTAATGCAGCCTGGTATATGGATACCTAAAGTAGCTCCAGACAAGGCAGCTTGGATGCTGGAGCTGTGCAGGTGGCAGGGAGCAAACCACAGACTAATCTGCCCCAAGAATGGGGTAAATTAGTCTACACTGACCTCTGCTTAACAAGTTACTTTAATACTTGGATGGATTTGAGTTAGAGATGGCTGGAGTAGAGCTGACTCTAAGTAGAAGCCAAGTAGGCAGATTTTCAAGGGCATTCACCACCAGGACATCAAAGCTGCTGACATCATAACTTCCCGCATAATTTTGCTGTGCCAGAGCCCTGGGAAGGGAAGGGGAGAGAGGTGCAAGAGGAGGAACTATTCCTGCCAGAGCAGCAGGGACAGAACTGGCCTCCCATCACAGCTCCTTCAGACCCTGTGGCAAAGGGTCAGGACACAGCCACTCTTCCTCAAGGTGGGGGGAAACTTCAGCTGTGCCCACCTCAATGAGCTGGGGTGGGCTGATGAGGGCAAAGATCCCCTTTCCCAGTGGCAGTGTATGTGCAGTGGTGCCTCACGTGGCCTTGCAGAGAAGATGGGGAGATGTGTGCTAGTGGTGGCTGCGAGAGGTTGTGCCAGGTGCCCTGCTCTCCAGGGACAGGTTTGTTGCAGAGGTTCTTCATGGGGTGGAGTGAAATTTGGTCTCCTAGATATCCTGGAGCCAGCTCCTGGGGATAATGACTGAAATACTGAACTCAGTCCAAGTGTTGTAACCATTAGTGCTAAGAAGTGTGGCAGCACTTTGAACCAACAGGAGTTTCTCTAGCACTAAAAGCCTTGTGTCCAGACATACGGCTTAGCTGTTGGGCTGCCAAGAGGTGACAAAAGCACAAATAAGGCCAGGTCACTCACTGCCATGATGGAAGGGACTCTTGGCCAACCTGAGGGGAGAGAGAGCTTTCCTCCTGGACCAGGGCAGGGGCACTCCTGCACTAGGGGCTGCGCTCATTATCGCTGGCCACATTCTCCAGGATGAGTTGCCAGCCAAAATTTCTGCAGAATCTTCTCCCCCTCCTCAGCCTCGCCATCATTTCCCTTGGAGTCCATTTCAGGTGTCCGCTCCTCATCCATCAACAAATTCAGCCTCATCCGTGGCAGCGACGCAGCAAGGAGGTGTTACTTCTCTGGGACGAGGTGGCACTGCAGTGCCCAGGGTGCTGGCCCCAACCAGCCGTTCCCTCCCCGCTCACCACCAAGGGGAGAAGGGGAAATTTGCTTTCCTGGGGTGGGGGGGACAAGCGACCTGTAGAGAGCAGAGAGAGCTGCAGCATCCCGCCCGCTGCCTGGTCCGGTAAAACGGGCTGGGTCCAAAGGTCCGAGATGTCCCTTGGCCACCCGGGGGGACCGGTCGCCCACTTGGGGCAGCTGGTTGCCTCCCGCCCCCGTCCGCCCCCTCCAGCAGGTTCCAGCCGGCAGGAGAGCTCAGGCCGGGAGAGGGAGCCGTGGCCGCCTCCCAGCAGGACCCCGCAACCTACCGGGGGGACCCCGCGGCAGCCTCCCGCGTTACAAACCCTCCTCCGCTCCCTCAACGCCCGCCGTCTCGGATCCCCCCCCGCACCGGGTTCCCCGAGGTGACCCCCCCGGCCGGCGGGGCGGAGCCAGCGGGGGGGCGGGAGGGGGATGCGTGTGTGCGGACCGAGGAGGAGGAGGAGGAGGAAGAGGAGGAGGAGAGCGCTGCGCACAGGACGTGGCGGAGCTCGCCCTCCGGTGAGCCAGGCTGGATGGGGGTGCGAGGGGTACACCCGCGTTTCTGGCGGCGTGGGCGGCACATCCCCGCGGGGCGGGGGCAAAGGCAGGGGGGGTCCGGCCCGCCCCGGCCTTGAACTTCCCCGCACTCGGAGGGAAAGTTTCTGGCGGAGGAGGCGGGTTCCAGCCCCGGCGCTGCTCGGGGCGGGGGGAAGCGGGAGGCGGGCGGTGGCGGTGCGCAGCCGGCACCAGCCCCCGCTCGTCGGCCGGCGGGGAAAGAGAGAAAAGGAAGAAGAAGAGGAAGAACCGTTCGGAAGAGCCCGAGGAGCCGCCGCAGCAGCAGCAGCAGCGCCCGGCGTTCCCCGGACGGAGAGGGTGAGAGCGAAGGTGCGCGGCCGCGTCCGGCCCCGCCGGGCTGGGGGTACCGGGAGTGAGGGGCGGGGAGGGGGGGTACGGGCGCTGTGGCGGCTGCCGGAGCCGGGGGACCCCTCCGCTGTCCCCCGGGAAAGGACGCAGCCGGTGCGATGGCAAGTCGGAGCCGAGCTGCGGGAGCGCGGATGCGTGTCCCCGCCGGTTCCGCAGCCGCGCCGCCGGTACTTTCAATCCGGAGCGGTTCGCTCAAATCCCGTCCTTCGGGCCAGGGAAATTCGGATATTTGCAGCGGGAGCGCGACGTGCAGCGGCGAATGCAACTTTGGTTTTCAGCCGCATTGCAAATGCGTGAGCCTCTGGTACCTGTTCTCTTCTGCCGTCACACAGAGCTGTGCGATGGAAGGGGGAGAGGAGAGGGTCGGACTTAAGCCGCAGCAGGAAAATAAAGTGGGAGAGACACGTCCAGGAAAACGGCCTGAAAGCGATTAGATGCTGGCAGAAAGGTGCCTTTTGCTGGGTGCTCGCTGGGGATAGCTGGCCCCTTATCCGAAGCATTTTTTTAGGGTGTATCTGAATGGAAACTGGATGGTGAGAATGCTTTCCTGAAAAGGAAGGGGTGGAGGGGAAAGAGACCATCAGGGCTCCAGTGCTTCAGGTGGCCCTTCTCTGTGCTGGTGTCACTTCCCTTAGTTACAGCAGCTGTGTTTGTTCCTCAGCCTGGACTGGTTTCTCAGAGCATGTCCATACGGTGCTTGGCACGACGGGGTCCTGATCTCATGGCCTTAGGATGTCACTGTAAACTGGATTATATATACCTTGTCACATGCACAATCTCTCTTTGTGTTGTGATTCAGAAGCTTTTGCTTTGTGAATAACTGGTTATAACGCTTGGATAAAATTCTGATTTTCTTTACATATTTTCTTTTCCTATAAAATGATGGCTTTTGTTCTATGCATTTACTTTCGTTGTCCTAGGAAAGACTTTTTACTTCTGAATTTGGGAGACAGCAGCAAGCTCCTTAGCGTTTTTAAAAAATTATTTGCTATGTAATTAGAAAGTACTATTTTCTAGACACTCCATTTTTAACTGTGGCCCCTCTTGGGTAAGCAGAACTGTCACTGAACTTACACTTCCATCCATAGAAGGATTGTGGGGTATTATTTATTAACTGTGCTGTGGAGAGTTCATATCTCATAACTTAGAGGGTAATTTATAACAGGTTGCTTTTGGCAGCCCCAGAAGATTTACTTGCTGTCATGTGTTCCTTGCAGGAAGAGCCTCTCCTGTTTGCATGGAGAGCATCACTCCAGCCCAAAGGCTTTCTGGTGGGAAGGCTTGGTGCTGGGAAGGGTCCTGCTTTCTGCCTGTCTTTGGTGGGCACGGGAGGGCAAGCGGAGAGGATTAAGCTCTAACACCCAAGTATTCTCCTTCCCTGGAAGTAGGTACAGAGTTGTTGCTGTCACTGGGAACACCTTCTCTGGAGGAGCAGTGAAGGATGCAGGATAATGAAGGATGTGGAGAGTAGGGCCATGAGGATTTGGAGTGCTGGATGTGTGTAGAGCACTGAAATGATCAGGAAACAGTAAGCTGGGAAGCTTACTAGGAGTTCCTGGATGGAAGTGGAACAGGGAGCTGTGGGGTGAGAGTTTTTCTAACGCAATGCCTCTGTGTAAGGCAGAGGGCAGGTCTGCATGCACACAGCCCTGTGACTTTCTTTCCATGTCTCTGGATGTAGCTTGAGTTTGAGGTGCCTACGTATTACATAGGAAGAGCTGTGTTTTCTCAAGTCTGCCCATGCCCGGTTCCTCCAGAGTCTGTGAAGGAAAGCTTGTGTCTTAACACCTCCAGGCTTTCTCCTTCCAGGGCTCTGCACAGGCATCCTACATCTGAGTATCAGCCAGTGTGCAGCAGGGATGAGCACTGCGCTGGTCTGGGGTTGAGCAGGCTCATACCCTGGGGCAGGTAGGGCTACCCCAAAGTGCCTGGCAAGAATATATAGTTAAGAGTGACTTCAGAGGGTTGGGAGACCAGTGTGACGGCAGGTTGGATGCTGTCTGGATGCATGGAGATAGGGGAAATGCCTCCTTGCAGGTCCCGGTGCTGTAATTTCAAGCTCTGAAATATGCATATGCAGAGGAAAGAGGAGGCAGAGAGAGTTTGTCCTAGCTCTTACTCCTTCAAGACCTGCCTGTGCCAGATGCCAGCACTAGGGAAGACACATGTCACTCCTTCCAAATAAAAGGCCAGAACATGTCCTTTTATTCCTTCTCGCTTATTGTCATGTTTGGATTTTTGTGCTGGTTATTTTGGCAGGCATATGATTCATGTTCCTTTCCCCATCTGTCTCGGGTCTCCCACTGTTGTCAAATGTCCTCCCATTTCAGCAAGACACTGACTTGCAACAACTTGCCATGAAAATAACCCTTGTAGCTGGGAGAGAAGGTGCCCCAGGGTGGGTCTTGAAACACAAGTTGCATTAGCAAGGTGGACAGTTAGGAAGATTATCACCTGCATGTGAATGCGTTCATATATCTGTGAGCATCCGTGCTGTCCAGTCTTTCTTTTCATCATACAGCAACAGGGAATGCTTTGGGAATAAAAATAGATATATGGAAAAGCCTATATAAGCTGAAATCTGTGAACAGCGCCACGTTATCTGGGAACTGAAACACTTTCTACGGTGGAGCTCGCAGTTCAGACATTGCCTGCTCTCCTCTTTCCTCCCCTGCCTTTCTCTTGACGCAGTTCCTGGATTTCACTGTCCCCGTAAGCAGAGCCAAGAGCCATCTCCTGTGTGTCGCCAGGCTGACACGGCTCCGTCGGTAGCATCTCTGTACCCCGGGGGTGAGAGATGGCCAGATGCAGAGGAGAAGGCAGGTGAAGCTGTCCTGTTTGCCACACTTGAGCTGACCCCCTCTCTGGTGCCAACTCTGCAGCCCAGGTGGAGCTCGGGGGCCCACATGCAGGTGGGATTCTTTCCCTCCACAGTTTGTAACCGCTTTGTTCTGCTCCACCATCAGCAAAATGTACGGCTGAGATTTGGTGACTGCTAAACTGGAACAAAACAGCTTCTTCTTTTGGGAGGTATTTTAGGATTTCTCCCCCTTCCCTCAGTGTTTTCGCAAAGCAGAAGGCTGATCTCACGTTTCCCAGCCAGTTTTGTTACGTGTAGGGCTCTTGCTTGCAACTGAGCCACATGGACCCTCGGAGAAAGTGCAAAAAGGAAACTGATTCGGGGAAATTAGTTCAAATGGTGCCTACGCTTTTAGGAACTGGCCAGTGCGTTTGCTACCTTCAGCCTCAGAGGTCCCAACGAGACACATGCACAGGTCATGATATTCATAAATTCAGAGTCTTACTTGACAGAAAATAAAATACAGGAACAGGAATGTACAAACATACAGATCTTGTTATAGGGTTCCTTAAAAATAGTTGCTGGTAAAACCAATGTCTACTACAAGTGAAGAATCATACCTTTAGTCAGTCCTTTGTTAATTTAGCAAGTCTGTTTCATCAAATGGGGACTGGATCCCCAGGAATTCCTCTGACGCAGGTTTCCCCCAAGTCTGGATGATTATCCAATTACAATTTAAAGAAAATTACAGCAAGGATAACTAGCTAAAGATAGAAGTCTCTGAGAGTGTTATGAAAAGAGAAGGAAAGAGTGTGAGGGAGCGAGAGCTTTTCTTTCTCATGTGAGTGAAATGCAGAGGATTATACCAGCCCTTAACTTCTGTGGTGAGTGCAGTGACGGTCCCTGCTGTTGGGGCTGGATGTGCTTGCTTTCCTTCCTCCTTTCTTTCCTTCTACTTCTCTCTCTCTTTTGTCATGTGCTGATTCCATATTTTTAGGAGTGGAGTATCTCGAGTTAGAAGGGGCCCATAAGGATGATTGACCCCACTCCCTAAATACTTTTATGAAAAATGTTGATTCTTATGGCGGCTTTTTAGATTTACAAGTCTTAACAAAAAGGGACAGTTAAATTAAAAGCTTTCTCTGGGGCAGAGAATTAGAGATTGCTGTGAATTCTGGGCTGAGTCAGGGGATGGAGATGCTGGAGAGCTGTTACCTTGGCAATTCCACCCAGAGCAGGGTCACCCAGAGCTGTGGGTCAGTGGGTTGCGTGGGCACAAGCTGGGATCTCTGTGCTGCAGCCTGAAGTACCACGGTAAAAGGCTCAACATTAGCTTGGCATGAAGCTCCTTGGACAGTTTTGTTGCACAACTGAAAAGCAAAGATACAACATGAATCACACACTTGCATAAATACTTTCGAAGCCTCTTCAGCTCTACTAAGCTGAGGTGTTATCAGAATTAGAAGAGGACTCTAAAAGAGAAAAAGTAAGTTTTAATACCTCTCTGTGTCCTTAACTAGAAAAGCTCCTGTGTGTTTTCTTGTGGATTTTTTTTTTCTCCCGGTTTTGCTTAATCCTTTGCATGACTGAAATAAAAGTGTAACGAAATATCTTGACTCTCTTAGGCCTGATCCTGTCCCCTCATAGGGATGTTATATTTTTGGACGTTCAGAGGATGATTCTTATATAGTTGATCAACTTGTGTGTAAAAGCCTGCAAAACTGTGACCTAAATGTTTATCCTTAGTGCTGACAGGATGCTGTGGAGCTGTTTGACTATGTATTTATAACAATTATGCTGCTTGGTGAGAAATATGTGACGTTTTCTTCTCAGAGGGAAATTTTTGCTTTTTTTGCCTTTTTCTGCCTGTGATTTGTGGTTATAGTTGCCTGCCTTTATAATTTTACCTTTTGTCCTAGATGTAAATAAAGAGCTAATTACGGTTAATCTCAGTGCAAGGGAATGAAATTTTTAAAGAGTGAAAAATAACTTCCATCTGTTAGATTTTTTGGTAGCATTTTGGGGTTTGCCTCCTACTCGGAAGGAAGCCAAAACTTATCTTGCTCAATTTAAAGTTTTCCTTGCAATATTTAAACTGGATTTTTAATCATTTAAAAAACAAACAGAAATGGAAATAGCTTTTCAAATTATGTTTGGCCAT